AGGCCGATTCTATGATCAAAGCTAATTAAAAAAGTTCATATGAACATGGGTCCGGAAATGCTTCCTAAGGGCACAGGGACCCATTGAAGAGGGAGGAATGGAAATCATTTTTTTGCAATATCTCTCAATCGCGTTGTGATAAATGAATGAAATTTGGTATACACAGCTAAATTTTGATGAGCAATTTGATGGACTAATCCATTTATTTCCACAAGGTCCATTGGGGTGGGTACGGGGGGGCCCTTGGTACTTTGCGTGTGTAACTTTTTCATCTTTGACTTTTTAACAAATTGGACAGCAAATTCCGTTTTCCCGAACTGTTTTACGTTAAAAAGGTACTCTTGTTTCAAATCGTTATCTTTAACGGTTTCTGAGAAAATCGCTCTTGAATTAATCCCACTTTGGTCAATTTCATAGTAATTTAAACAAAAAATAATAATAATAATTTTCCTTTCCTCTCTTTTCCATTTAAAGGATTAATTTTTATTTAATTTAATTTTTTATTATTATTTTTTTATTAAAATTAGATTAAATTTAAACAAAAAAATTTTTTTTGTTTAAATTACTATGAAATTGACCAAAGTGGGATTAATTCAAGAGCGATTTTCTCAGAAACCGTTAAAGATAACGATTTGAAACAAGAGTACCTTTTTAACGTAAAACAGTTCGGGAAAACGGAATTTGCTGTCCAATTTGTTAAAAAGTCAAAGATGAAAAAGTTACACACGCAAAGTACCAAGGGCCCCCCCGTACCCACCCCAATGGACCTTGTGGAAATAAATGGATTAGTCCATCAAATTGCTCATCAAAATTTAGCTGTGTATACCAAATTTCATTCATTTATCACAACGCGATTGAGAGATATTGCAAAAAAATGATTTCCATTCCTCCCTCTTCAATGGGTCCCTGTGCCCTTAGGAAGCATTTCCGGACCCATGTTCATATGAACTTTTTTAATTAGTTTTGATCATAGAATCGGCCTGTTCAGGGTTGGCAGCTAATTATGAGACAGCCTGCATATTGACTTTTCGCATTTTGTTTTGTAATTATGCTTTCGATATTTTCACAAGATCTTTTTACGTATTTAAAACCAAAAGTCAATTGATTCTTTGAAAAAAGTGATCAGTACTGAATTTAGAAACTTTTTTGTGTCTTGATATTTGTTTTGTAAACTGCAGTGTTTTTGAGGAAAATAGCGAATCACGATATGCATTCGATCACATTTTGACATTTTTCTCGAAAACATTGCGATTTACGAAAAAAGTATTAAGTGATAAAAAGTTTCTAAATTTAATGGCTTTCTAGTGGATTGATAATTTTTAAAAAATTTAAATATGCTACCAAATTTTTTTGGCTCCAAAGACAAGGGGGGCCACGAAAAATTGTCTTATGTCTCTTTTTAAAAAAATTAATGTATTTTTAAGCACTTTTTCATGCAATTAGTTTGAAATCTGTATATTAAAAAATCGCCGAGAAAAGAACGGGTTGTTTTTTTTTTTGGTTTTTTGTTAATAACTTTTTTATTTTACAACTTAAAAATCTGAAATTTACACAAACATGAGATAATGCAATTACCTTTCGATCCTTTTTTGCCGAATTTCGATATCTTAACTTGGGCAGAAGATATAGGCGCTCGCGGTTTCGACTTTATAATTTTGCAATAGGCCCCATTTTCAAATTGGGGGTCCGGGCTGCGGGTGATCTTTTCCTGTAGTTTCATCCAATTTAAATCAAATTTATTCTTTTTATTTAATTCTGAAAATTTAGCACATATTTTTTTCACCGCTAATTTTGCAATGTAAAAAAAATGTTTGCGAGCTTTCGCAAGAGCCTATCCTTGTAGCAAATTTCCTCAGGAACAAAATCGATAAGTATACATCATGTCGATTAGAAGCTTATTTTCGGAGATATAAGCAAAAAACTGAAAAAGAGCAATTTTTTTCTTTTATCATAAACAATATGACGCTACAGATACATAAATTTAGGCTTTTGTTCTGTGTATTTTTTATTTAATTTGGTTGGTCTAATTCGCCCGAATTATATTCGTCGATATTACACCTTCCTGGTGTAATATCGACGACTTACATCCAACCTGCTCTGACACCTTGAAATATCCATTTTTCCACTGTACTGCACTACCATATAAATCTATATAACAATACTGAAACTCCATTAATATACGTTTTGCTAGATATTATCTATGAAATTTAATTTAGCGAACAGGAAACTGTACAGGATTTTCAGTGCATCCGCATTTCCAATTCCATCCGGGCGGTAGAATGGATTCCGTCGGACTTGTACGAACCCCACGAGAACGATCAGAGCAGGCTCGAAGGAAAAATGCAGATCGGGCGCGAGAGAGTCAAATTAAAGTTTTATTGTTGTTGGAGTGATTTACGTGCGGTTTCGTCAAGAAATACCACGTAGGCCTTCTGTAAATGCCTATATGGCGCACCCCATATTTATATACAGGGGGTATCATTTAAAACAAAAACCATAAAAAATAGTTCAAAGAATTGCGGCACTTCTTGCGATATAAGTACGTAAAGACAGAAAATAAAGTAGGGGGTGTTCTGAGACCGCAAAACCCTTCCGTCCGACCCTGGAAGGGTTAGTTGGCTGACAGCGCATCCTCGAGAGAGGAAGTGACGTGTGAAACAATTTCCATTTACGATTATAATGTCCCTGCCGATTTCGTGTTGTACCTACTCTAAACCATGGCGTGAAATTGGATATTCTCCTCCCTTTTCCTTAAATGACGACTAATATGTATAATCTCTTACATAATGTTGTTTAAAATACCTACTCCCTGTGGCTTTGGGTGGGACATTTGTTTAATGCCTAACATTGAAAATGTTTATAATAAAAGATGTATACAATTGTCCCAAAGAATTCCTTCTTTTTTATGTTTTCTCAACCCTTGATTTTTTTTAAGTATCCTTATTACATGTGATTTTTTACTTTGCTGTAAGGGGGTATATCGGGTTTACTAAAATGCACAGATGTACTTGAAATTTATATAGCGTATTACCCAGTGCTCTCTCTGAGTCATATTTTTTTGAATTTTGTTTTAATCTAGATTTTGAGATATTGTTGTTGAAAGTTGTTCATTTTAACATACGTTTATATGGCAAAGATGGACGGTGCGGCTCTTTTTTTGTCCATAACAGAGAAAAAAATGTAGAAATTGTGAAACAAAACTTTTCCACAGTATTATCTTATTTTTGATGTAAAACTAATGTAAGTTTTGAACATAGCACAGCTGTATTAATTAGAAACAGAAACCAATAATTACATTTCTATCTGACTTGAGGATTAATGTGGCAACGTCGCAATCAGCTGACAGCAAAGAGGGAATACATTTGAAAGACTTGTTAAAAACGAAATTGATTTCAAACATATAAATTTTTCCTAAATCCCATGTACATTGTTATCAACAATAAATTATCCACAACAGATTATTTTTTGTAATGTTTTTAAAAAACTAGATTAATTAAAAAATACTAGGAAGCTGTGATATATTTATTGGAATAATAAATACAATTGATAAATCCTTTTAATATATTTAATGATTTATAAAAACATCGTAATCATTACCCAGCAATATTTAGGGTTACATAAAGTTTTCTTTACTTGATTAATATAATTAGTAATACTTGAGATAAAAGCATTTGTACAGAATAACAAAGGAACATAAATATTTCTCAGCAAATTATATCTAAAAAATTTGTTATAGTTGCAAAACTTTTATAACATTACTAAAATAGAGATGAAGAACACGAACAGTGAGTAATAATGTAATTTCTATCACAGAACCTTCAAAATTGCATCCAACATTTTCTTTGACTTGGACGAGAGATGGACGCGAGTGTCATTTCATTTCTTTAGAACTAAATTAACATAATTGTTTTCTTGTTGTTTTACCAGTTCACATAATTTACGGATTTTAAATAAAGGATACAAATCTTCGCGAGGATACTACGATATATTTGCTATATATGTATAATAATTATATTTTACATAGTTTACACACAATACCTTTTTGAACGCGTACGCATCTTTACCCGAATTTTACACGCAATATCTCCGATGTCCGAGGTCTATAGGTTCGCCATGTGTACAACTGCACTCGATTATTAGCGCTGTTGCCACTTCTACATAGTGTTTATGCGTTCTTAAATATAATTTATTTCTGACCGGGATATTATAAGCTTATATCGTCATAGTTACGCTATCAATAAAGAGAGTCATAACTCCCTTGGGACATTATAGATTCTATAATTCCCTCTACCTTTCACAAGTAAAAATAAAATGAAAAATGCTAATATACATATATGTGTATATATTTATGAAATGAAAACTGAACCATATTTTATTTATTTGCGTCATTACAAATAATAAATGTACAATTTTAAAATGTTCCCTGAAAATTACTACCGCCACTGGAAACAATTTCTTCTTTTGTATGGCTGGAGCTTCTGTTCACTACAGTCGAGGTACCTGCCTCTTCTAATGGCTAAGTAGACAACATACGCGCCGTTTTATTTCTCAATTCGATGCTATCCTCCAGATACCCCTCCGCCACCGTGGAACTTTTCCAACCTACATGTCTTTTTAAGTTAGTCATACTTAGTTGCTTCTGCATTAGCTAGAGCAGTGGCAGAAGTGCGACGAAGGCAATGTCCCGTATAGGAAGATGGGTTTGGCAATCCTAAATACATTGCGATTTTGCTGGGAATTTTCCCAAACATGTTTTTTCCAATTAGCTGAGATGTACATTTATTTTGTCGGAAGCGCAAAAAAAATCGTTCAATACCTTTAGGACGCAATGACATATAAAGTCTTAATAAAGGCAAAGCAGAGAACTCTTTTTCATCCACAATTGTAAATTTCTTCGATACACCAGTTTTACTTTCCGGTACGTTCACTACCATAACGGAATCCCGGTCCTCTATATCCGATATTTTCATATTCAAAAGTTCCTGACTTCTGCATCCTCAAAAATAACCCATAATCAAAACAACCTAAAACAAAAACAGGAAATAAATACACACAAAAAGGAAAATAAGAAAAAAAATACCTTATGCAATAAATGAATTTCATTAGGAGCGTTCTTTAGAAATCTGATAACATCATTAGGAGATAAAACAGCAGACTTTTTCGGCTTATAACTCTTACTCTTCCGTTTCAAAAAAGCCTCTAGTTCATTGAACTTGGCGATATCTCGTTTCTCATGTATATTCACCTTCGATTTTAGCATTGACCATTTAGTTCATAAAGAATTCGGACAATACGTTTCTGACTGCAACGAATAAACAAAATTACTACCAAATCTACCGAAAAACATAGAATATTCCTTACCAATTCTTGAAAATATGCCAGTAATACAGTTTCAGTGGCATCTTTTGGCATAACATTATTCCGTGTCAGCCACTCCAGATATATCTTGTATTCTTTTTGGTATACGGCTTCACTTTTCGATGGAATTAATGATTCTCTTGCTTTTTCAGCTTTCTTCAAAATCTGCTCCATTATATTTGGGGTAGAAAACACGTTTTTAACGCAAACACAGCTTGATAACAAAGTACTGTTTATAAGCAAGTAACAATTCTGTTTATAAACACGTAACATAGCAACAACCTAGCAACAACAAAACTCTTATAATCAATGGTACCTGATTCAAATATACTGGGAAGGTAATAAATTGGTACATTTTTTCCGTTTTAAAAATAAACAATATTTTATTGAAATCGGTCAGAAATAAAATTATCTATGTACCACGGGAATTAATGAGCCTTAATAACCTCAGGCAATTGCTGTCCCTCGGGCGGGACGCCCTCGGGACGCAAACTTTGCCATCGGTAATTAAGGCCCTTATAATTCCCTAGGTACATAAATAACTATTAAACTACTTAAATATGATATTTTTATGTTGTTAATTTTCAATATGTATGTTATGTGCATATTGAGTAGATTTCTTTGCTATATAGATACTGTTTATCGCAAATAATTTAAATAGAATTTAATTTTTTCAAGTTGGTGGCGGGTTTTAGTCCAATAAGAAAAGCATAGGACCCCCCTGCAATCCTTACTTCCCTTGGACCCCGATATACCTCCTTAAACGAATTAAGTTAAATCAAACAAATATAGAATTTTTTTAAACAATCTCATCAAATGAAATCAAACAATTTTCTTCGATACTAGAAATCTAGGCACGGAAAAGGTATTTAGCATCACAGACAAGACTGCTGATATTGCAGGAAACACTATATATATAGATTTAATTAAAAACTGAAAATGATATGTCTAAATATAATTAACACAAAAACACATAAATATTTAATATATTGAAACTGCTAAGTAATACAATCATTTAAAGAAATATTTTGTATTCTTGTTGTTCTATTACTTTATTACCTTTGACAAAAACTAATCATGTGAAAAACAGCTGTTACAGAGACCTTCTTGTTTCCACATTATTGCAGTAGTAACAAAAACTCATTGGTTTAAATCTAATAATCATAATAGTCGACTTTCTAAAGACATCTTTGGATACCGCACAAAAATTATTTTCAGCCAATTTAATAAGTAACATGCACCGTATTATCTAAAGCTGATTCAATAGCAAAAACTGAGTAATTACTAAAAAATAAATATTTTCTTACAAAATGAAGCTGATAGTATATCTATTTTTAAATTCAGTAACGCTAATGTTTAAGAGTTTCGTACAAAAAATGCCCTAAATACAAAATGTCCTTGTCGAAATTCATTCATCAATTACAAACCAGCATCTCCTCGGAACACGAAGGACAAAAGCCTTCTTTCCCCGATATCCCTGTTAAGCTTTCTTCATAAATCATTATTTTTAGTTAAACAGTAACCTATTTCCCTAGATTCAACAGGATCTGACACTGAACAACAGGACGACGTTCCCAATTCACTCTGCCATTGCCAAATTAAGCCGACCGAGCATTAGTGATTAAGTTAATGAACTTAATGACATTATTAGTGTAAAAGGGTAAGGCAAAGCAAAGAGGCATGTTGATTACACACTGTTAATTCAGTTTTTCTAATACCAAGACATGAAGACATAGGAGACATTGGAAACTGATGAAAGAGTGTAACTCGGGGGCTCGTTACATTATTCTTGACAGAGACCAGCACGTAAAAATAGCCACGAAAATTATACAGGGTGATTCAGAACTTATCCAAAACAATTTGTTTAACGTACAGGGGACTCTTATAAATAAATGAAAAAAGGGCAATTCGAAATTGGTCTACCGTAAAACCTGACCTTGCGCAACGCAAAGCATGCAGGCGAAAATGTAATAAAAAATGAACGGGCAAAAAATTGAAAGAATTTCTGTCCCAAGGAAAGAAATAAATAAAATTTTATAACACCTATTTTATATTAGCAAATATGTTTGGTTTTAATTAATAAATTAATTTGACATACCTAATATTACAACAACTGTTCAAAATTTTGTTCACCGACACCGTAAATACATTTGAGCCCGTCCTACCCAATTTCTACGAACTAACACAAAAGTTATTTTGCTTTACCAAAAAAATAAAAGCGATATTCATCAACTTCGAGTTGCTATAAAAGTACCTACCTAAGCCGTTTTTCACACTTGAAAAACTAACGTAAACACTATCACAACAACGATACAAAATTCAGAATCGCCTGGGCCGCGTGGGTGAATGACGCTAGAGACTACAGTAGCCCAGTGATGTAAAGGTTGAAAATACTACAACTTCAGTAATTTTTTTCTTGGAAACTCTAAGGATTTTACAATTTTACAAATTTTTATGATATTGACTTCATTTTTTATGACGCGTCTATTTATTCCCAATTCCCAATAGAACACAAAGGTTTTAGAAGTGAAATTTTGAAATGATAATATCAAAAGTGTTAATATACTTAAATTAATGTGAATCATTTTTTTACCTCAAAGATTTTTTAATCAATTTCACCATTGGCATCTGGGAAACCGCAAGATATACAGGGTGGCTCAAATTAGAAAAAAGTTGCATCTTTTCAGAGGTCATTAAAATAAACCAAATAGATCAAAGATATCTGCTGCTGTTCCTGAAATATTGTGAAAAAACTGAAAGTAGTGATTTTAGAAAATGCCATGTAGCGTCCTTATTTCACAACAAAAAGAGTTGAAATTTGGTACTAGGCGATAAGAAGATACAAGGAATCCATTTTCGAAAACAAAATTTCTACGACTACTAATTTCAGTTATGCAACATTCAATTGTTTTTTTTTTATGGGCGCCATATTGGATCTTGACAGTAACAGGTAGAGGATAAAATTACAAATATGCCAATATATAACACTACTATTTTATTTGAAGAATAACCTATAAAATTAAAGAAATTAAAGAATTTTAGAAACTACAAAGGGTGTCCCAATAGTCTGTGAACATGCAACAACCGCAATTTACTGCTATCAAAATAAGCAGAGTTGATTAAATTTATTTCTAAACTATGTTGCTTCATTTAGCTGTTAGACAGCATCAAAGTTAAGAAAAACATTTTTTTTTTTTCGAATAACTGAAATACCTTGTAGCATTACGGAAAAAAAATTAAATAAACAATTTCACGACGGAATTTGAATACTTAAGTATTTCTGAAGGTCAAGAGTAACCTCTGTTGAAATATGACTTCCATTCAAACTTACACCCTTTATATAAAAGTAGTAATAAAAACGAAACTAATATTATGAAATATTTTTAAAGGTGCAGTATCACTATTACAAATATTTAGTAAAAAGTTGAAAATATGTTGATGCTGTATACGATAAACGTGCTTGTTATTTACATCCATACAATTTCACTGTTTTAATAAAAAAGCTGAAAAAATAAACTAATTCTAACAAAGCTCCGTCATTACAAAATACTTATTTAGTCCACATTTTTGAAGACCTTCATTAAATATTTACACAGTTCTTTTTAATAAAATATTTTTAGTAGTACTGACAACTTTTTTTATTTATTTACGAAACACTTAACGCTTATATTTAATAACTTGAATGACATTTGTTGTAATTACAAGAACAGGAACTAAAGCGTCTAGCTATGAATTGTTTACATTTTTGTCCTCTAGGTACATAAAAAAGAAGAAATTAAATTATAGAGATACAAGGGCTTATTTTCCAATATACATCGAAATCCTCTATAATGAGTCATATAAGCTTGTTATTGCCATCTCAGTATCATTTTAATGCGAAAAGTTTGGCCTATTTTTAGCCCCGAATTGAGTCATCAAGTCTCGGTAGACGATGTTTCATTTACCTGACGTGTTTATGAATTTATCAAGTGTATAAACACGCGCTTTCAGAAAATAAACCTTCTTATTTTTATATTTACCATCTCCAGTTAATGAGACAAGTTCTGGTCTCGGTGGCCGATGAAACATACCAACAGGATACAGTCAAAAACGAAGAGCAGCGAAATTTTCGTGCATCGTGTAATCGAAATTCCCAAAGTGCAAAATACCTTAATTTTTGATAATTATAAACATACTCGACGTAAAAACTGCATCGTTCTTTGCACTAAATGCCATTGTGAAATGCAATGTTCAAAAAGCTGCGACACGTTAACGCACCATCTATTGTAGAAACTCATATTCGTAACGTTAATATTTACGTTTGCTTTGCGGTAATCTAAATATTTGAGTTACATAAAGCGAAATATATTCGAAGCTCTAATGGTTTACCTAACTTTCCAGTGGTCTTGTCTCTTGTGTCACATCAAACATACTAGACTCCATTATTATTGTTTGTGCAATATTTTCAAAATGTTGGCAGACCGCTCAAACTAAACACAGCTTCTTTTATATAACATTAGAAACAGATCAGTGGAATTTGAAGCATACAAAGTGAAAAAGTGTTAACCAAAGGACCCCTAAGGACGTGTACTAAACTAATACAAAGCCTTCATATATGTTTACAAGCCATGTGATCACCGAACTTAGTCGTGACAATACATGACTGATACTGGTAATGAAAAATTCCAAAATCTTGACGTCATCAATGTTAATGATTCGTTTATAATGAACAATGACAAACGGTTAATATATGAACAATTTATTCAAAATTACTTTTGTTAATAAGTATCTATTATCCAATTAAAAATACTTTTATTCCTTCTGGTGTCAGAGTTTTTGCATTTTTGGATAAATTTCCGACAGGCATTATTATGTATAGTCAATGTTACCATTGAGTAAACAGGCCATAACGTACATTTAGACTTTGGCTTTGATCTTGACATTTCTTCAAAGTATTATTTTTTCAGAAAAAAAAATAGTACTTCTTCCAATATTCATTTCTGTGATGACTTCTGATTTCTTTCATGAAATTTCCGGTAGCAAATTTAAATACAATGAATTTACCTGCTCTCTAATTTGTTGTGGGGTGGATTTCTGGTATCACCACTACTAATATTATCTTGTCCTTTTTGTTTTGGCAACCTGAATTTATCACTATAGATGCTAAAATTATGTACAATAACATATTAGTTTCCACGGTAATAAAAATGGCCAAAACGTTCTGGTAATAATAACGCAGTTTATAAATGTTTAATTCAAAAGTAATAAATAAAATTCTTCTAAACTCTAATTGTTTGTAGTTGTATTGTATTGTTGTGTAGTTTGTCTGTATTGTTGTTGTAGATTGATGTACATTGTTATCAACCATAAATTATCCACAACAGGTTATTTTTATAACGTTTTTAAAAAACTAAATTAATTAAAAAAGGCTAGGAAGCTGTGATATATTTATTGGAATAAAAAATACAATTCGACGTTCGCAAATAAGAACATCGTATCTCAATTTTTAGTAAAAATTAGTAAAG